CTCTCTCTCTCTCTCTCTCTCTCTCTCTCTCTCTCTCTCTCTCTCTCTCTCTCTCTGTGTGTGTGTGTGTGTGTGTGTGTGTGAAAGAAGAAGAAGACGAAGAAAAAGAAGAAGAAGAGGAAGGCAGGAGGAAGAAGAGATGGAGGGTGAGACAAAGAAGAAGAAGAAGTGTTGTCCTCTTCGGTGTCTCACCTGCAGGTAACTGCCGCCATGTACTAACTGCCGCCGGTGTGTCTCTCTGTGCAGGTCGCTGGCGTGGAGTCCAGCTATGGCGCCCAGGTAAGTACCGCCTCAGCAGGTATGGCCTCCGCCTCACCTCCTACCTACGCCTGTACACCTTAGCGCAGCGCTGTGATGGAGGGTGAGACAAAGAAGAAGAAGATGTCGTCCTCTTCACTGTCTCACCTGCAGGTAACTGCCACCATGTACTAACTGCCACCGGCGTGTCTCTCTGTGCATGTCACTGGCATGGAGTCCAGCTATGGCGCCGAGGTAAGTACTGCCTCAGCAGGTATGGCCTCTGCCTCACCTCCTACCTACGCCTCTACACCTTAGCGCAGCGCTGTGTCGCGCCGCTCCAGCAGCATGTCGCCCAAGAAGTGAGCTACTCAAACTGTGTGTCTGCCCTGGCCTGGCCCAGCCATATGTAGCGCTGGGCCTCGCTGGTGTGCCTTCGTGTGCCGCTGGTCCTGGCCTCACAACGGCCTGCCTGGGTCCCTACCGGACGTCCAGACCCTCCCTGCTGATGCAGCAGGGAGCGTCCACTACAGGACGAAAGTGGACTGGCCCGAAAGGGCCTGCCTGCGAGCGTACAAGGTCCAAAACATGGCCTTTGTCCGAACAGACCGAAAGTCTGTTTGGACGACCTGCAAGTCCGAAACGATGCCCGAACAGACAAAAATAGGACAGCAAGGCTAAGATCAAGTGTAGTATCTGTTCTGATCAATTTAATATCTGATCCGTGGTCCATCGGACCACATAAAATAATAATAATAATAAATAAATAAATGCTGCCTCAAATCGAAACCTGAGGCCCTAAGGCTGGCCGTGGGCCTCCAGGGTGCGCGCCTGAGGGTGTGCGGCCTGGGGACCCCCAGCAACCGTCGAGCCCCTAAAATGGGGCCGTGTGTGTGTGTGTGTGTGCGCTTGTGTGTGTTTTTGTACGTCCAACAAAGTCATGGGATCTCTTAGATATTTCTTCCCTTACGTTCTACAGCCAGCCCTAACTCTGCCAGTGTCTCCTGGTCTGCTTCTGCCGGCATTGGCTCGAGACGAAGTGATCTGATCTCTCTTTTCATCTCGTCAGGAGTGAATTATTGGATTTGAAGAAGCTGTGTGTGTGTGTGTGTGTGTGTGTGTGTGTGTGTGTGTGCGCGTGCGTATTGTCTGTCCAACAAAGTCATGGGATCTCTTATATAATTCTGCCCTTACATTCTACAGCCAGTCCTAACATCTGTCAGTGTCTCCTGGTCTGCTTCTGCCGACATTCTGACTTGCCGGTGGAATAGGAATCAGACTGATGCTCCCCAGAATGGAAATCGAGCCAGGGCCGTAAGGACCTGTTTTAAGGGGGTGGGGGGAGAAGGGGGGAAATAAAAAAGAGTAGTGAATTATTGGATTTGAAGAAGCCCTTGTCGGTTTGTTGAAAGCTTCAGGACCAGGAATACTGCGTTATGGTCTAAATGATGACAGTGGCATAGGCAACCGATTCCAGAATCCAGAGTCACTCCCTGCAGCGATTCTGATAGTCGGATGAAATCTAACCTAGAAAATTAATCCTTCAATTGGTTACATTTCTGAAAGGATCTCACGACGCTCAGTGTCTAAGTCCCCGAATCCAGTCCCAGAGGCCGGTGTACCATAGTCCCAACCGGCAGGTCCCATAGGCCCGGTCTGTATGGTAGATCCGATAGGTTAGGTCAATCCGGTAAGCCCAGGTCGTTAGTGGTCTGTCGTTCTGTCATCCCAGTTGCAGCTCAGTCCCAGGAAAGTGTGTGGAAGCTCTGGAAGCCTTGGAAGCGAACCGTGGTGACAAGAAAGGGTACCGGTCCGGAAAAGTCGAATGTTGAAGACTGCAGCAAGTGCAAAAGTCCGGCAGCACCAAGACATGCTCTTTGTGAATTTCAGTGAGAAAATGCTCCAATTTTGAACTTCACAAGCTTCAATAACAAGTTACCGGATGGTCACCATGCTTTGACTCTTTGGCGATGTTTCATTTGTTGAGCAAACATCAAAGATGAAGACGCTTAATAGGATGGGATGGTGTTATCTGACATAAGCTGTCTCGTGAATTATTGCCCAGGTCATGGCGAGATCCTCCCCAACTGACAAACACTTACTGGTGAAGCGGCTCCTCGAGATGGGTGAAGTTGTTGCGGTGACAGGGGATGGCACCAATGATGCACCTGCGCTTCATGAGGTATTTTTCTATCCATCCTCAAAACTCAACCCATATTGAACAAATTGAGAAATTGATTTCATCATAAGGGGATTCAAGGTCATCATAAGGGGATTCAAGGTAGCGAAGCGCATGACATTGATCCAAACAGAGATGCGAGGAAAACTCAGACGTGTGAGGTTGCGAGGTTATTTTCTTCGTATTTGGCTCTTAGGGCAGGTGCAAGTCGTCTTTCCATCCTCAGTGGATCTCCAGGCTCAGATGGCAATCAGGGTGAACCAGATGTCAGGGTGTGCAAGACCGGGCAGTCATGTTCAGGGGGAGGATGGGCGGGCGAGAATGGGCAAGGAGCACTAATGGCCCTTTGGAGTCATTAGGGATTAACTCATTAAGAATGAGATGCCCCATTGCCGTTGGACCCTGTTTGACGACTTCAACAACAGGACTTCCGTACCCGATGGTTCGCCTTCCAGACTTCCCCTACCTGTTATGTGCCAGTACGGCTGCTGATGTTTGTCGATTCCGGAAGTTTACAGACTTTCCTGGGACTTGCTGCTAGCTGGACCTACTGACTTCTCCGAAGTCTGCCTGTACCTACTAGACTCTTCCTATGTTTGCCTACTGACAACTAACCTTCCTTGCACATGGGAATACAGTTCATGCAACTGGGACTGGGACTTGGGACTGGAACTGGGGCAGGGACCAAGGCTTGTAGTGGTGAAATCCTTTCAGATTGTTCTGACAGTCAACAACAGTGGACTGACTGAGAAGGATTATGCTGACTGTTTCTCAAGGTTCTTTGTTGGAGTAGTGCTGACAAGGGGAAGAGTTTTGTCCCAAAAGCAGGGGCTTGACTGACAGTCAATCCTTCTGAAGAAAGTGATCAATGCTTTCAGGGATCCCCTTGCTGTAACATGGGGAAGCATCGAGAGTGGGTATGTCATGTAGCTTTTCTGACTTGCTGGGGGAATAGGAACCGCACTGTGGCATACTGTGCAGCCACACGGGCCTTGCAGGGCCCGTCCCGGACCTCCAGCCTGTTTCCCTACAGGGAAACTTCCAGGCTCTTGCCTGGAAGCTTCCTTCTGGCAGGGCCTACAGGCCCCAGCCTGTTTCCCTACAGGGAAACTTCCAGGCTCTTGCCTGGAAGCTTCCTTCTGACAGGGCCTACAGGCCCCAGCCTGTTTCCCTACAGGGAAACTTCCAGG